CCCTCCACCCCCTCCTCGCTACGCTACTGCAGTGTCACTTATCGTCACAAAAAACAGACCCCACATTCAAAAATATGTTTTTTATCTTTTAAATACACCGAAAACACCGATTTCGGACTATCCCTTCATATACTGACGTCACAGGTGACCTACGCAACTCTACTTCACCTGCCCAGTGTCCCGCCAAGTCTCAGACAACATGTTTTTATCGTTTAAAAAACAATTCCAGCCGAGCATGTCTCTGACCACACTATCCTTTCATATGCTTAGGACAAAGAAACAGATGAACTCTACTTCACCTGCCCTGTATCCTACCAAGTTCAGATAGGCAACTTTATCATTCACATCTAAAAAAAAATTGAAAACAAAAATATCATTGACATTGGTCTAGAACCCGTGCCACTTGCATGAGAGCCGACTGCTCTACCAACATAGCTATTTACTCGTGACGTCACAAGTGAATTTTTATACTATTCTTTGAGTCTCGTTATGCAACTTTACGCGCATAGATCTAGATCTAACTTCTAAGTCTAGTAGTAGTAACTTTCAAATTAAATTTTATCTTAAATTAGCCAAACAAAGATTTATATAAAATAAAGAAGGTTTGAAATTATCTAGATCTAGATAGAATTATCTAGATCTAGATTAGATTCTACGACTCGTTTGCTTAAGTCTTAAGTTTAGTTTTTCTTGCTAGATCTAGAATCTAGATCTAGATCTAATCATTTGCTACGCTAATAGGCCCGGAGCGAGCATTTCAAAATTACCATATTCCAAACAAACATTTATATAAAATAATAAAGGTCTAAAATAGTTTAGTATATAGAAAATCATTATTATCTAAATCTAGATAGAATTATCTATATTTTAGATATACGACTGAGCTATATCTAGAGTTTACGTCTATAATTTTGCACACTTAGCGGTATAGAAGCCGCGTATGAATCTTAAGCTACGCAAATCGATCTAGGCCCTGACTCCAGCATTTCAAAATTTGCATAGGGGCCTAGTCAAAACAAAGATTTATACCAAACAATAAAGGTCTAAAATATTTTAGTATATAGAAACTCATTATTATCTAAATCTAGATAGAATTATCTATATTCTAGATCTACGACTGGTTTGTTTAAGTCTCGTTTTTTTTTTTGGATTGTATTTATAACTAATAAATCTTGGATTTGACCTAGATTCTAGATCTAGATCTAGATCTAGATCTATAAATAACTTTCCTTCGGCAGCTGATCTTTAGATCTAGAGAAATTTATTGTAAAACTAAATGAAAAAGACAGTTGAAAATTGATATAATTGTTGGAACGTAATAAATACAGCAAACGGACGTATTGTTTAAGTTATAGCCGGCAGAAAATTAGCTTTGTAACGCGTTAAACTATTGAATGGGCCACAAAGTCTATGATGGAGTCCGCCATTTTTATTGTACCAAAAAGTAAACACATCAAGGGACGTCACTATCCCCACAAAGTTTAGTTAATGTTTTAAAATTTAAAAAAAAATGTGGTTAATTTAACTATGAATAAATCATCAAATTAATTAACGTCTTTAAATAAATTTGTAATTAACAGTCTGTCTTAAAACAAAAAAATGTCTCTACCTACATACTATTTTACAGCTTTCCACGATGAGTGCAACCATGCGAGATAGTCAATCAGCCAAACAAACAAACAAACAAAAAAAAACAAACAAATAAATATTCAAACATGTAAACAAACTTGACTTTTAGTAGTATATAGATAGATAAATATAAATAAATAAATATTATCTTAGTGCAAATATCAAAATGTTGAAACAACTAGTTTTATTACATTTCAGATGAATCAGTTTTATGTGTCTGTAATCAGTCTCTATTTCGATTCACCACTTTAAAAATAAACCGGGAGTGATCTCCCCTAAAATTTCTCAAAAATTCTTATATAACTCGGAATATAGACATGATTTTTAATTAGTTAAACTTTTAAAAATAGAATAGAATCTCGTAGAAAAAAGAATTGCCCACCTGTGAACGCCAAATAAAATGTGCATAATAGTGCGGAATATTATAAGTATTTTATAAATTTCCATTCGTTTTTGAGAAATCGGAAATAGCGTAAATTACTACTTCCGGTCAACTGAAATTACTCAAAATTTGATAGGAGGTAGAGAATTAGATTTTTTACTTACATGTGAAATTTCATTTATCTGTCTGAAATAGTACTCAAGTTATAGGCTTTTGAAAAATTCAAAGTAGAAAATGTACCACTTCCGGTTATCGGATATTGCTCAAAACTTGATTCGGATCTACGATTTTGATATAATACTTAAATATGAAATTTCATCATCCTAGCTGTAACGGTACTCAAGTTATCCTGTTTACACATACACACACACAGAGACAGACACACAGACATACGGACAGAATTGCAAAGTCCATAAAACGCCAAAATGTTTATATATTTGTATTTATTATTTTTGCCTGATTAAAATAAGTCCTCTATACTCCTGATTTGATGAAGGACTGAGGTGTAAAACGGTGAAAACTGTCAAAATTTCATGCCATTTTTTTGCACGATTACAAGACTTTCTCTATACTTCGTATATACGAGAAAATAAAAAAAATAGGACGGAAACGTTTTTATTAGAATAGAACAATGCTGAGTTACTATAATGGTATCTATAAAGTTTGGAAATATCATTGGGCAGCTTTTATTAACGTCACACTTGTAAGAGGAGCTGGATTTTAGATATTTGTGACAACTCACTTTTGCTAATATACAGCGCGTAGAAAATGTGTTTATTGGTTAAAGCCCGTTACTTTAACTACAGAATTGTTTGTGACCGAACGAAAGGATATTTTTGAAAACTTTCTTCGGCAATATTGTTCTAAATTATGGCAGGAATCGATTGGTAAATGTTTCAAGTCGCTAAGTGGATGGTCTGGTTGCCGAGATATAAGCCAAAAACTGCTTTTTTTCGAGGTTTTTTGGCTTTTCCGTTAAATCCAGGAAGGAATTCCGGGAATTTTTTTGACCCACTATCATCCTCGGAACTTGCTTAACATATTTGCTTTTGGAACTAGTCCTCGGTATTGCTTCATTGAGGAGGAGATACGACTTAAAGCTTCGAACACACATCCATCCATTCCCAGAAAAGACGAGTTAATAAACGCAATTCTCCAGAATGGAAATTGCGCTAAAAATACACAATGAAAATTTCAATCTGGTGGCCCCTTTTAAAATTCCTCAATAGCCTCTTGGACACAATTTATTCAACTCTGTTATACATAGTAGCAGTAGCTGGTGGGGGGATGCGGTCCACACCGGGTGAGACCATTTAAAAATAAGTAAACAATATTTTATCTAGTTAAAATAATAAAATAGTAGAAGTAGAGGGGTGAAACCATTTAGGGGGTGACGCCAATTTAAAAAACAATGATAACAATTGTTTATTAGTTAAAATAATAAGATAGTAGAAGTAGAGGGGTGACACCAAAACAAAAATGCTTTTCCGGGAAATCCAGGAAGGAATTCAGGGAATTTTTTTTGCCCACAATCATCCGTGGAACTTGCTAAACCTATTTGCTTTTGGAACTAGTCCTCGATATTGCTTCGTTGAGGAGGAGATACTACTTAGATACGACTTAAAGCTGCGGACACACATCCAGAAATGACGAGTTAATAATCGCAATTGTCCAATATGGAAATTGCTCTAAAAAGTAAGGTCTGCAGTTTTAAAGCAAATTTTGTCTCTTTATATTTCTATTTTTTACATGCACAGCTAGAATCTATATCATGTGTGTAATATATTAAGCTTTATTTTGGGGGGAACTCATTCTTCTTGTATTAGTCTTATAATGTTTGAGTGATGTCCCTTGCATGTTATGTTTCCGTTTTCGATACAGAATAAACAAGGCGTACATAAAATGGCTTCCTCGTCTGTTGTATTATCTGTCTAGACTTATAAGATCTCAATCCACTTCAATATGCTATCTTAAAAATAATTTTCAGCACTTGTTTTATTAGGCGCACTATTTTTACGTCACATCTAAACAAGCTTGGACATTGAACATATTAAGGTTGTCCTGTGAATTCTAAAATTGTGTGACTTCTAAACCTAGGTAGCAGAACTAAATATAAATATTTGCGGGTTGTTGAAGAAATTAGCCCAGGTCATTACAATATTTCCTATGTTACAATACACAGCACAAAAACAGAAAAAAAGATCACAAAAGAACAATTAGTTTTACTTTATTTTATATCTCAATAGGTATAAAGTATACGTATAATATAAAACCTAAAATGTTATCTTGTCATAAAACATGTGTAAAATGTATACAATGTAAATTTTAACTTATAAAAATGTTGTTTTTTTATATAAATATTCATATAAATATAAAGATACTGTCAAATATACGGGATTAACTATAAAATAAATTACTATTCTGTCGATTAATTGAACATATTAGTGCTTAGAAAGTATTTTTCATAAAACTTTACGTAATAACTTTGTCTTTCTGATTTAAACTAACATCGTTTTCACCTCACATTCAAACAACTGGAAAGGTATATGAGCACAAAAAAAACTGTCAAACTCAAGTTGTAGGTTTACAGTTTAAAACCGCGCTCTGTCAGAGTGTATACAATCGTATCACTGTATTAAAAAATTAAACGTTTATACAGTTACATATTATACATATTTCAAAATCTTATTTAAAACAGCTAATCCGTAAAATTGCATACTGTAAATTAATAGTACTCGAAAGCCGCAACTGATAAAAACCGTTAAGACGAAAGAAATGCTATTTCTAATCTATACCAACTATAGCAGACCTTTGTTTATTCAAAATACATGTATGTTAAAGAAAATCTTTTTAGAAGTTTAAAATTCCCCTTTAAACGATACTATTGTATTACAAATTATTTATTAGGTAAACTAAATGAAAAGTATTTTTGCACATTGAATGATATTCGTTGCATAAACAAATATTATCATCTTGAAAGTTGCATATGTTCTGATTATTAGAGACATGTCTATATTTTAAAAGAAAAGTATTTCTGATACTTTATGCCATGCTGTAGTTTTAAGGCTGATAGTATTAAACAATACAACCCAATTTCGCTAGCAAACTGATCGGTTAAAAACTGTTTGTTTTTTTTCCTAATAGGGTCAATTCATTTTTTGGTAGAACAGCTGGAATCAAATTTGAACATGGAAAATCAATGTAACCCCAACCTGAAAACTCCTCAAAATAATCCTTCAACATATCAAAATGTACTTTCTTAAATTGCTTTTCTGATAACACTGGATAGGAAATAACTAGTCTTTTCTTGTAAGTCAATGCACCTTGAAATTTCCTCGGCAAGTTCTCCATGGTACCAATCAACTGAAAAACTACTTTCCCAAGTTCACATTTAATAGTGTGCATATCCCCATTCTTTTGTAAAATATAATTACTGTCATCATCACTGAAACTGATGAGATGCTTCGCTGGTCCATTCAATTGTTCTAATTCTGTTAATTTCTTTGTTAGAATGTCCAGCTGATGAACTGCTGTTTTCTCTTCACCATTGACGGTAACAGAACTGAAAATCAGAATCATCCTCTCATAATGTATAGCCTGTCGAACTTTAAATATCTCTGGTAACTTTGAAAATTCTTCCACTTTTGGATTCCAACATTTCGGGAATATTTGATAAATTTCTGGCTTGTTTTTGCTCAAAATAAAAATGCACTGATCATACGAGACCAAGATCAATCGACGCCCTGGTATTTCTGTGATTTTCTTCCATGATTTCCTGCATAAAACATACAAACTGCTGTTTGTTTCGGCCGAATCTTTAACCCCAGTGGCGAACAAATATGAATCAAAAACAACTAATGATACGTCCAAACGAAGTTCACTACACTGTACACAGGTGTACACGTTCGGTTCATACGCTTCTACGATTACAAATTCGTTATTTATGCAAATAACACCGCAATTCAGCCATTCACTAGAGCCTCGATGTATGGCACTTGTTCGCCATTGTCCGTGGTTATAATGTGTTGTCTTATACAACACAGCATCAATCAAAATATCTCTAGCTTCAGTGTTGTTGATTATCAGTCGATGTTTTAGCAAATGTTTCAGAAGTGGTGTACTCACAAGACACGTCCTCACAGAATTCAATAATGATGTAAGCTTTCGGATTCTGTTACTCTGAATTTTATTTAGTTTATCTGTCTCGGTAGGTATGAGACTTAACTCTGATGCATTATCAGAAATAATTTCGCTCGCTGATTCATTTTTCGTGTCAGTTAATTTGTCTTCATTGTTGTCTTTTTCTGGTATATATTCAACCCACTTTAATACCAGTTTTAAAAGCCAGTCTTCATTCCTTACATTCAGATCGTAAGATACGATCAATCGATTAAAATCAATGAAACCAAGTTCCATTATAGCCCTAACATTGATCTGGCTAATGGTGTCAAAGTTGTCTAACAAAAACTTGTCTAAAAAACTACAAAGTTTGTCAGAGTTATAATTTTTTGCTATTTTCCACATATCCTCAAAATTTTCAACACTAGTGACTTTTGTAGCGAAATCTGCACAATTTTCCACAATAAAATCTATCTGTAGTTGATCTGCTGCCTGCCATAAGTCCATACAATTGTCTATCGTTAATGTAATCTTTCCCGTGTACATCGACTTTAAAATAAGCTGGAATATATCCAATGAAATCCCATTGATCGTTACACAACCCTCTTTAGCCTCCTTCATGTCTGTCATTAAAAGTGCTCTGAAGAAATGTGACGACGCTGCCAGAATAACACGGTGACATGGCAACTCAACGTCCTCAACACGGACAGTAAAATCTAACAAACGTTTTTCTTCTAGAAGTTTCTCAGTGTTTTTTACGACACAGCTCGCTTTGACGTTTCCCTCACTCATCTTCCAAGTATCAAAAAGAAACTTAAATGCATCAACTGAAACAAATATTATAAATCTTTATTGTAATTAGCAAACGCAGATGACACAATTCACAAAATCATTTACTGGACTAAAAGCAGCATCTATACATTCTGGACTAGGCGAAAACAAATAACAAACAGAAAAAAATGTGATTTTAATAGGAAACAAATTCTTGGACACTTTAAAAAAAAACATCAGAAAATATCTTAAACATCCGGGAGAGAAAAGTATCCGGAAAATATTGTTCCCGATAATGCTGAGTATGGGTGGAATTTTAGAATCAACACAGAGAGTTATCACCTTACAAAATGAAGTAATAGTGCCAGAAATAACAAAAAGAAAAACTTCATTTGTTGGGTCATCGAAACTCTAAAGGTAAAAGACCAGATGACAGCCATGAGTTAAGATGTCGCGAGGAAGTAGAGTTAGACAGAATGTATTTTAGCTGGCAGGTCTGAATGGTAAATTATAGTGATTCTGCCTAGTACAGCCCGTGAGTTGAAGACCCCCACATACGTGTAATGTATGGAATGTTTTCTTTGCAAATGTTAAAGTAAAGTAATTATTCGTTTTTAGACCTAGCGATCCATTGGGCAGAAGTTGAGATCATTTGTTTCTTGACATCGTAAAGGATGGTGTGGCCAGCCCTAGGCCCAGACGCATTTAATTTCCCTAACGCCAGATTAAAAAGTGTTCTTTATTTATTTTAATTTTTTTATTTTTTTAATAAACAGTGATGTATCCAGTATCGAATAGTTTGTGTTCAGGGATTATGTTTTGGTTCACTATCAGTGTTGAACTCTGAACTAGAGATGTTTTTTTTAAATGGGACAGCCGGTTGTAATTTAATAATAGCGATGCGCTAGTAAACAACATTCTAGATCTAGATTCTAGATGTAGATTCATAAAAACTAGAACTTACCATAATCTGGTATCAGTATTTTTTCTAAACCTACAAAGGAATAACTAATTTACATTCGATCCACGAATGTAAATGCTTTAGGTCTTATCAATAAACAGTACAGGTCTAGAATTATATTATTTATATAAAAAAATTAAATAAATTTAAAATAAAAACGTGTCGAAAAGTGTAAACGTTATAAAACTTCAAAATAAAAACATTACTGCACAGCACACTGGTGCTATCCAAAGAAAGCGTCTAAACTTTTCTTAAAGTGTAATTTCGGTGTGCAACTACATTACAATATGTTTTTTTCTATCACATATAGGCCTTCAGAAACATATTCTTTACATTATTTGTATTGCATAGATTTCGAACACTTGTTGAATAATTCAGTAACTTTTTTTCAAAATGCATGCTTGATTTATTGCAATAGAATTTTTAAAATGAAGATTTTTCAAACTGGGAGTCTTAAACAAGGGGATACAAAATGTTTCACTTCTTCTTCTTCTTCGTTCTTAATTTTTAGTGTTGGGAGGGATCGAGCCTTATCTGCCAGAGGGTTTGAACTCGAGACTTTTTCTTTCGAATTTATCAACCATGAGCTTTGCCGACTCGACCCTGCTTCCATCACAATTCAGGATTACGTGTCAACTGGTTATGCGTTCAATGTTTCACTGAAATACAAAATCTATTTAAAATAAATTATTGAACATCTTTATCACAAAAATAACACTCAGTCCCTGTGTTCTTGCCGAGCTTCACCGTTTCATGATTGTTCCATCAAAGAAGGTATTCTAGTTTACCGTGTAAGCCAGCTTAGGTTGTGGTTAGGGGTCATCCATAAATGACGTCACGCTTTTTTGACGATTTTTACCTTCCCCCCCCCCCTCCCCTCCGTCACACGTCGTCACAAAAAACCAGAACCCCTCCCCCTAAAATGACGTCACACCTCAGCCTACAACCCCCCTCAAAATTGCAGTTGATTTTTTTTTAAACATCGATATTTTTCCAAACTCTTGTCTGAAATCTGTCAAAATAGAGTATTTTAATCAATTCCTATTACAATTTATTAAAACAGTTTTCTAAACCGCAAAATAACGTCTAAAATTCGTTTTCTAACATTTCTTTTTATAATGAAACAAGTGTGACGTCGCACCATCTGAACCCCCCTCCCCTCATCACACACCGTCACAAAATTACCGACCCCCCTCCCCCCTACGAGTGTGACGTCATTTATGGACGACCCCTTATACCAATTTGAATGTTAGCGGTAGATAAAAAGTAGGTAAAATAATATATATATTATCCGATGTGTTAAACTGATTCACGGATAAGGTTAGCTTTTAAGTAATAATACTACAGTACCAGCAAACGTTGATAAGTAATTTAGTAACAAGTCAGTACTAGCCTATACTTTATAATATCATGAAGGGCCGATGATTAAGTCACAACTCATTTCAGACAGATATGGGCCGTTAAAGGACCACTTCACTCGAGAATAGTTACGGCCGGAAAAGTCACGTGTTCGAATCCGGGTCCAAGTCATTAGAACGTCCCTGAGTCCACCCACCTCTGATGGGTACCACACTATCTCTTCATATGCCGAGGTCACAGAAACAGGTGAACTCTCTTTTACTTTAAATTCTGATTCTGGGTTTTCTACTTACATACAAATCATTCATAAAAATGTGAATATGTTGTGCAATGTAAAGAAGGTGGTGGGACACTAAGAGCTAAATGTTTGTACTACCATTGAATCCATGGAAAACAAATGTAAATTAAACATAATAACACACTTAGTTAAACAGCAAATACCGCCTAAACTATAAATTATATAGTTGTTTAAATTATTTTAATTCACAATGGATTGAAAGTAGGAATAATATTTATAAAACATACATACATGAATCTGCAAAACAAATGTGTAAAATTTATCAAATGTTCAATTTAACTCTTTATGTATCATACTAAAAATTAAAATTTTATAAAGTTGTTATTTCATATAAGTAACATTCTTAATCATTTACACTTTGTCTTTGGTCAAGCTCCTAAGTCGACTCAGTGACTTAAATAAGATAAAGCTTATCTAAGAATGGTATTAAATAACTTGTAGTTCACAGACAAACTCTATTCTATAATACCCCTATTCTAAGATCGCTCTCAAAGAACAAATGCAACATATAAAATTCTACTGAGGACATTGTTTTAATACATCTCCTATAGTAGCAGAAGATCTTGATTTAAAATATATCCGATATAAAGGCACATAATTGATCACTTCACGTTATAGATTATATTTGTAAGACATCTAATACAATCTGTCATCTTTAAAGAAAGATTTTTTTTTAAATTGTAGTTTAAGCTTCTTTGAATATTATTCTATTAATAAAGATCAACTAATATTGATCAACTAAAGCAAGATGTAGAATTGAGATAATTTCCTATCTAAAAATACTTTATAGTACTCCGCTAATTTAGATGTATGCATAATAAATATTCTTTATGCAGAAGAAATAAAAATATATTTTAATTTCATCAATTGTATATTTCACGCCCAATATGAATATGTGCACATTAAATTATGACGAGACCTATCAGATATTGGTATATACCTTTAGTTTCAAATATAAATAGAGATATAAGTATAAGTTCCAATAAGGTAATTTATGTAAATGTTAATTTACCCTAGGCAAAATACGTTTTAAAAACCCATTGTAGATCTGTATTATACATTACATGTTTCAACACTGTTTAAGAAACACGATCTGTGATAGATATCACTAGAGATAGCGTAGGCTATTTTTGTTTTAATCTATTAATGGTACCAACATATTTTTGGGGAAAACAGCTGGAATGAAGTTTGAACACGGAACATTCATCAAACGCCAGTTTGCAAATAAATCAAAATAACCCTTCAACGGTGACGGAATCACAATGGATTGTTCGATTGGGTTTTTCTTACTAACGCACGCATACGCGATTCGCATGGTTCTGTCGTAAGTGAATACACCGTGGATTTTGAACGGCGTTTTCCATAATCTACCCAGCAATCGGAATGTAATGTTCCCAGACTGGAATCGAATAATCCACAAATCTCCACTTCTCTGTAATAAATAGGTGTGTTTATCATCACTGAAGCTTAATAGGTGCTTGGCTGGTCCATTAAATTGTTCTAATTCTGTTAATTTCTTAGTTAGAATGTCTAGTTGATGAACTGCAGTTTTCTCTTCACCATTGACGGTAACAGAACTGAAAATCAGAATCGATCTCTGATAATGTATAGCCTGTCGAACTTTGATTGTCTCTGGTAACTTTGTAAATTCTTCAACTTTTGCGTTCCCACATTTAGGAAATATTTGATAAATTTCTGGTTTATTTTTGCTTAGAATAAATATACACTCATCATATGATACTAGCACGAACCTACGTCCTGGGATTTCAGTTATTTTTCTCCAAGATTTACCAACTAAAGCACACAAACTGCTGTTTTCTTGTTCGTCATTTTTAACCCCAATAGCGAACAAATAAGAGTCGAATATGACTAAAGTTACGTCTAGATAAATTTCACTGCAGTTCACACATGTATACATCTTTTCCTCATCGTACGCGCTCAGGATTATAAAGTCAAAACCTATGACAAACAGAACACCACAGTGCGCCCATTCACTTGAGTCGCGATGTGTAGCACTTTTTCGCCATTGTCCGTGGTTATAATGTGTTGTCTTATACAGCAGTGTCTTAATCAAAATGTTTGTAGCCCTAGTGTTGTTGATTATCAATGGATGTTTTAGCAGATGTTTCAGAAGTGGTGTACTCACAAGACACATCCTCACAGACTTCAATAACGATGCAAGTCTTCGAAGTCTTTTGTTTTGGTTTTGACTTTTATTATCTTTCTCGACAGCTAAAACACTTGTATCTGATTTGCTTTTGGGACTAATTCCACTTGTAGTATTCTCTTTTTGGCATGTACATTCTTCATCTTCGTCTTCACTACTGTCTTCTTCAGGTACATACTCAACCCACTTTAGCACTACTTTTATTAGCCAGTCTTCGTTTCTTAAATCAAGATACCGAGAACCAATTAGACCTCTAAAATCCCGGAATCTGAGTTCCATAATAGGTTTATCATTTACCTCACTAAAGGTGTCGAAGTTTTCAAGCAAAAATGTGTCCAAAGATTCTAAAACTTTTTCCGAATTCAGGTATTGTGTTATACTTGAAATGTTCTCAAAATTCTCAAGATTAATGGCTTTTATCGCAAAATCTTCGCAATGTCCAACAACAAAGTCTATCTGTAGTTGGTCCGCTGCAAGCCATATGTCTACGAAATTTTCTAAATTTAAAATAATCTTTCCCGTGTACATGGACTTTAAAATAAGCTGGAATATATCCAATGAAATCCCATTGATCGTTACACAACCCTCTTTAGCCTCCTTCATGTCTGTCATTAAAAGTGCTCTAAAGAAATGTGACGACGCTGCCAGAATAACACGGTGACATGGCAACTCAACGTCCCCAACTCGGACAGTAAAATCTAACAAACTTTTTTCTTGTAGAAGTTTGTCAGTGTTTCTTACAACGTTGGTGCAACTGTCGTATCCTTCAACCATTTTTAATAACCAAGAAGTATTTTTCAAATCACCACCTGAAATAAAATTTAAAATGAATTCATATTTTTATTTGAAAATATTTTTAGTTATTATTTTTTATATTTTAAATTTGTTTAAATTAAAAGTTTTAGTTAAGCTTTTTGTCATTTTAAATTTTTTTTTTTAAATTTTAATTTAGTTAAAAAAATTATATTTAATTTTTTTAAAATTTGACATAATTTTATACTTCACACATTGTCCTACATCGTTAATATAGACAGTAAGTGCTGTTGTATGTGAAAACTTTAAAAGTTATTTAAAGTTTACATTCCTAAAGCATTTTCTGTGTACATAAAACATTCCTCAAACTGCTTATAATAATAATCTTTTATACGACCAACAAAGAAAAAAAAAACAACTTATAATGGACCACACTAAATTACTATTAATTAAATCTTGAGTCGTGACCTACATCTCTAGTTTGACATATATTGGTACGGTAAAAGAGTTTAAATTCATTCTTGTAATTCTCCGCTCATTACGAAGTAAAAAGAGCGATGGACGAATCAAGGTAAAAAATCAGGTAAAAATACGCTTAGATAAATCTCTTATCTCACCAATAAACTATAAAACATTGAGTCTAGCTGTAGAATACATTTTCATATGCTAACCATTTTCGAATAGAGAGCTTCAAATAATTATATTTATAATTTGTTTCAAAGAAACAATAGAAAATAATGAATATCTTATATGAACAACGTTAAAGAAAGATGAATGTGTAGAAAATAGTTCTATGAAGCAAGTTTTATTCCACGATTTTATTTATCTTTTTGTACGAGCTAGATGAAAGCTTTTACTTTGTGTTAACTTCGCCTATATGATAATTGTAAACCCGATGTTCACACCTAAGCACAATTTTCTCAAGATTTTCATAGGCCTAACCTTTACAATACAATGATATATATATATATATATATATATATATATATATATATATATATATATATATATATATATATATATATATATATATATATATATATATATATATATAATGTATATATATATATATATATATATATATATATATATATATGTATATATATATATATATATATAAATATATATATATATACATATATATATATATATATATATATATATATATATATATATATATATATATATATATATATACAAACAGGATGAAAATAGTTATTAACTCCTCGGTAGGGCTTATCCAGACAAAGCGTCACGCTTAGAGTTATGATCAGCGCCATAGCATAGCGGTAGTATCGTGCGAAAGTCTCGAGTTGGTATCTCTGGCTCGAGTTTTATGCTATGACATCCCTGAGTCCACCCAGCTCTAATGGGTAACCTATTCACCTTAGGTAACATAAAAAAAGGCTTGACTGGATACAGACCACATTATTCTTACATAATTAGATACCACCGAAATAGGTAAACTATAATGTAATGCCCCACTAACCTTCATGTTCGGAAGTGTTACTATCTTTTTGCATGCCTACTAGATCTAGATCTAAATACATCGAATAACCATCTTGTGGTTATCAGAACTTTGGGTAATCTATCGTTTTGGGTACGTAAAATCGCCCGCGGCTATTAATGTACGAAAACGTTACCTCATTGTCAAGGCTGTAATAGAAGTATATTGTGATATGTTTGTGTCAAATATTATAGATAAATGAATAATAAACCTAAATCAATGGCTAAATATATCAATATAGGCCAGAAATTAACTTTAAACAGCAGTGTCTGCAAGCAAGATTTGCTATATAAACAGCAGCCATTTGTAAAATAGAGTGACTTCCCCCTGAATCTCGCGCCATAAGTCTATAAAAATAAAACTTTAACAAGATGGCTGCTATAGTAAATGAGCATGGTTGCATCTGTTGGAAACATCGCTAGTCTTCATTTATTACTGAAACGTTTTAATTCAATTGTTTAAAAACAGGTACGTAAATGAAACAAGGAAACATTTTTGTATTTTCGAAACATAAATCCTCCTCGAAATGTGAAATAATTATTAAAATGTAAAGAGTCACCTGTTTTTCACATTACTAGTCGCGGGCGATTTTACGTACCTAAAACGATAGATTACCGAACTATGTATATACTTACGATGCAGTTAGCAGTAGATAAAAGCCGATCCATAAATGTAAATATCACCGGGCTTGTTTGTAAACTGTATATAATATATGGGCCTATTAATTATGTAAAATAAATATATCAATATAAATTTCCTTGTAAGCAAGCTATACATGTTTAAAATCATCAAAATCAAAACATTTGTGTACGCTACACTGGTGCAATCTAATGAAAGCGTCAAACAGGTACCGAAAGTTGAATTACGGTGTGCAAAATATGTTTTTTAAGAAGCAACTAAAAACATTGATACCGATTTATACCATTGCTCGGGTGATTAATCCCGGTTTATCACTTGTGATTTTAAACTTATTAAAGGAACCAAAGTCAATTCAATATGTCGAGGTTAATAATAACGGAAAAGTATTTTTTAAATGAAATTCAAGAAATTCTTTTTTAACTTATAATTAACTAAAATTGTTATTCACGTTGTAATATCAAGAACAACTCTTTATGTATTAGTACTACGCAACAAAAATAACTCACAGTTAAACAGGTAATCTCTTTTTGACGAATTATTTATAAGCTATTTTCAACGCGAGTTACCTCCGTTTGCATACATACATAAACTACTCCTTTTTAAAAATCATTACAAAACTACAAAGGGATTTGGTGCCTAAAGTATTGTAGTTTCTATTCCTTCCAGCGGTATCCAAAATGCTTTACAGATAAACTATCTCTAAAGCGTTGAATTAGTTCCGTTTAAAAGGTTTAATTCCACAGATATAAAATTTAACCATGTTTATAAGTTTCTAGGTATCACATCTCTTCATTGTATTTAATTTTAGACCTGCAAAAGAACATAGCTTAGTACACTCGTCCATAGTTTTTGACGTTTCTCCTCATAAAATTCTAACTTATTAGCCAGGTGCACATATATTCTAAGTCTTAGTATTCATTTAAAGTATCATCGTAAAATATGTAAATGTATGTGTGGACCTACATACAAATAAATAAAATAGCTTAATCCTAATTTATTCAATGAATTTAAGAACTAAAATACGAATGATGAAAAAACTGATAGTAAATCTAAAATATAAACTTTAAATTTTCAATCAGTCTTTTTAAACATGTTTCATCGCGTTCATTTTTAACATTAATTCAACTTATGTTTAACTAACTTAATTAAACTTAACAGGACTCGACGATGATCCAATGCTTTATATGTTAATCTTTGATTGTTTTAAATAAATTAAATATTTAGGTATTTCTACTTCATTTTATGTTGTATGGGTTTTATAGAGTTAGTAGAAATTTTGAATGCAAGATTTAGCTGTATGCGACTAAGCATTCAAGCAAGTTGTTTAAATTTTTTTTAAATACTAATTACTTTGATTTCGTACCATGTTTATTAACCTAATTTAAATCAGGCTTTTTTAAATACAATTAATTTTTTGCTAATGAATAAAATTTAAAAAACATTATATTCGAGCTTATTAATAATATCTTTTGCAATATTATGTTTAATTGTAATTTTAATTTTTATTCATTTTTTTTTACATTTGACAATTTCATAATTTAATTCAAGCTAGATTTTGTTATTTACAGATAAATCGGGTAAACCACTTACTATTAATGTAGATATTATTGATAATTTTGTTTTGTTTTTAATTAAGAAGAGTATAGACTTCCTGTGAGCTGATAGTAATAAAGCCCAATAGGAGACACGCAATAAATGGATTCTACAAGGGTTACCTTGCATAAGTAACACAATAGTCTGTACTTTGGTATCAACTGTATTTATGAGCATCGGTCTTCGACAAATATTTTACTTCCTATTAATCTAGACAAACGTATACAAGTGTGATTAAATTTGGCTTCGTAATTAATCCAAAACAACATAGAGAATGAGATCAATGACATTGTTTGAAGCCAATTTCCAAAATAAATAAAACTGGTCCATAACACAATTTATATAAGAAAATAATCTGAATTTTATAAAACGTTTTTTGTCCCAGAGGCGTAGCGACCCTTCCCGGCGCCCGGGGACAAACTTTTCGATTTGCAACCCCCCCTCAAGATTTCGATTTGCACCACCACCCCCTCAAACGTTCGATTTGCACCCCCTCCCCCTCAAACTTTCAATTTGCACCCCCTCAACCTTTCAATTTATTTTTCCAACCCATTTTGGCGCCCCCTAAGGTCGGCGCCCAGGGACATATGTCCCCCCCCCCCCTGCACCATCCTCGCTACGCTACTGTTTTGTCCTTAGAAATTGAGTATTGAATAGAAATCGTCTTAAATGTCTTTGCACACACAGACATTGAATAGAAAAACGACAAATCATGTATTACAGCAGACAAATTGTATACAATTTTGCCGTTTTTGAAAAAAAAGGAACGCCTTTTAAGGTTGCACATGTTTCGAAAATGAAATTGAAAAATTGTTTAGGCGATTCGAATCAGTGTACTCACAAACAATAAAAACAAACAATAAATTTTCACTATGGTGCGCCATGATCGTTGTGTAACTTTTACAAATAACACGTCCAATGCTTTATGAAACAAAAACTGGAAAAACAAAATCTCAATTATAATTGGTATTTTTAATTGACCAATTTACACTTATAATGATAAACAAAGAAATGTATATTGAAACAAAATGCTAAAATGTATATAATACACCATTGACTTATAAAACGTAAAATTATAAACGTGTAAAATATGAAAGTATCAAAATGTTTTTCTTCATTTAATATTGGTTCAAAATTTAAAATGTATCAAGTGCATGGATCTTAACTATCATAACTTTAGTTGTTGCGAGGAACGTAAATCAAACGACTTGTTTTACTTTAAATAGACTATGTAGTTTATTATTCAAAATGACTTTAACATATGTAAATAAATTAGTTATTGATTTGCAAACACACATTTAACAAGATCTACTTATTTTAAACTATTTATGACAACAGTTTTTAAATAACTGTGCTTGTAAATTAATTCCTTTGTGAAACGTGGCTGCATGCTTCGTTTACTAACGAATACATTTTAATTATGTAAACAAGTTTGCTTTTTCCTGAATTCGAACCTACGACTTGCCTAGTTTACCAAAATTTAACACAATACAAGATTTCGTATCACCGCCTAGACTACCCTAGTCGCGTGCACAAATAGAAATGGGATTTATTTTATTTTAAGCTGGTATCAAAACGTCCCTTATGTAGGACAAGACGGCTCAAGCATTCGTCACTTGAATTGAACATAATACATGATTGGTATCACAACACACACTATCATACACACCGGCCAAGACTGAAACGTGATTTTTATTTTAAACTGGTATTAACACGTCCTTATGTAGAACAACTGGTATAAGATTAGAGCAAGCATAATCCAGTAAATTCCAAACTGCAAATTGGCAAAAATAATCTTTTAACATATCTGGAAACACACTGAGTTGTTCGCATGGTTTTTTAAATATACCTGGATATGAAACAATTAGTCTATCGTCTAACGTCAATGCGCCGTGCAATTTATGAGGTGTTTGCCATTGGCCCAGCAACTGGAATGTAACTTTACCGTTTTTCATTTGTATAGTCCATAAATCTCCACGTTTTTGTAATACAAAAGTATTATTATCATGACTGAAGCTGATCAGATACTTTGCTGGTCCATTTAATTGTTCTACTGTTGATAATTTCTTTGTTAGAATGTCTAGTTTGTGAACTGCAGTTTTGTCTTCATTTTCGACAATTACAGAGCTGAAAATTAGAATCATTCTCCGATAACTTATAGCATGACGTACTTTCGTCGAATCAGGTAGATTTGTAAATTCTTCAACTTTCGGGTTCCCACATTTCGGAAATATTCGGTATATTTCTGTTGATTTTTTGCTTAGAATAAAAATGCAGTCATCATATGGAACTAGAACTAGTCTTCTTCGTGGAATTTCCGTTATTTTATTCCAGGAATTCCCGCTGAAAACAAACAAACTGCTGTTTTCTTCTTCATCATCTTTGACTCCAGCGGCGTATAAATATGAATCAAAGACAGCCAAAGTTACCTCCAGACGAAGTTCACTACAATCTACACAGGTGTGGAACTTAAAATCCTGCGTATTCAATATAACGAACCCCAAACCGATGGTGTACACAACACCGCAATGCTGCCATTCACTCGAGGCTCGATGTATGGCACTTGTTCGCCATTGTCCGTGGTTATAATGTGTTGTCTTATACAATACAGCATCAATCAAAATATCTCTAGCTTCAGTGTTGTTGATAATCAATCGATGTTTTAGCAGATGTTTCAACATCGGTGAACTTACTAAACACGTTCTAACAGATTGTAATAACGATGCAAGTCTTTGAAGTCTTTTATTAGGATTTTTATTTAAATCATCCTTCCTAACTACTGTAAAACGTTTGTCTGTTTCATCATTACAACTAATTTCTTTTGAAGTATTCTCTTGTGAGTCGGTTAATGTCTCTTCATCGTCTTCAATTTTGTCTTTTTCTGGCACATATTCAACCCACTTTAGCACTAGTTTTATTAGCCAGTCTTCGTTTCTTACATTTAGCTCATGAGAATCGATAAAATAATCGAAATCATTGAAGCCAAGTCCCAATACTACTCTAGGATCTAGCTCACAAATGCTATCAAAGTTTGCCAGTAAAAACGTGTCTAAGAAATCGCTAAGTTTTTCAGAGTTAAAAAATTCTGCTATTTTCCACATATCCTCAAAGTTCTCAACAGTAGTGACTTTTGTAGCGAAATCTGCACAATTTTCCACAATAAAATCTATCTGTAGTTGATCTGCTGCCTGCCATAAGTCCATACAATTGTCTATCGTTAATGTAATCTTTCCCGTGTACATCGACTTTAAAATAAGCTGGAATATATCCAATGAAATCCCATTGATCGTTACACAACCCTCTTTAGCCTCCTTCATGTCTGTCATTAAAAGTGCTCTGAAGAAATGTGACGACGCTGCCAGAATAACACGGTGACATGGCAACTCAACGTCCTCAATTCGGACGATAAAATCCAACAAACTTTTTTCTTGTAGAAGTTTCTCTGTGTTTTTTACAACACTGTTCGCCTTGTCATTTTCCTCGCCCATCGCTTAAATCACCTGAAATTATTGTTTTAAAAATTGATTAACTGCAGAAATTTAGTTACCTAAATAAAGTGATATATTAATTAGTTTCTACAGCACGCGTTGTTATTCTTATTAATAGCCAAACATCCCAAATCACGATACTTATCCATAGAAAGACGGGTTAAAAACATGTGCATAATCTCATCAATAGAACTAGAAATATGAATTTCGACTCATTAATGGAAAAGAATAATAATTTAAAATAATGTAAAATACAATTACTTTTATTGCAAATTGTAAAAATAAATGTAAACATTTGCACATTTTAGCTAGAGTTATTTAAATCTTGCAAAATATACTCAAGACTTGTTTATATTCGTAATTACTAACAGAATAATTTTAAATGACGTTAGTTTTTGTTAATCGCTTTAAAGATCAAACAAGGAATGTACAAACTTTTGGTATCAGTGAATACTAGTTTTCTCTTACATGACAAGGGAATTTATAGAGTATAAATAAGGCCATAATTAGAGTTGTGGTTCACTTAAGGTAAAATTTATATAATACGCCTATTCAAATTATCGAGTAACTGTTGGAATATACACTCTTAGCCATAAGGAATTAAATTTTTTATAAGTCTCTATATAATCATCGATCACTAGAGAACAAAATCAACTCATTTTATGAATATCCAGTCTAGCAAGAATACGTTCAGATTTTAGTTCAGTACAACTTAAACACTGAATGTATATCGACATCTTGGCCTGATGTTTCAAAAGTCCATTTGTGAGTGTGGCGGGGGGGGGGGGGGGTTAGTTTTGAAAAAAACTTAAAATAACTGCTGTTATAAAAACTGTTTTTTTTATAAGAAGTAATGACCTGTACCTTCATTCAGAGCCATACCGATGGGGGGGGGCAGGGGGGGACGACATATGTCCCCGGGCGCCGACCTTAGGGGGCGCCAAAATGGGTTGTAAAAATAAATTAAAATGTCATTTTAGATGCATTTTTGCAGTTTGAGGGGAGGTGGGGGGGATGCAAATCGAAAAGTTGAGGGGGGTGCAAATCGAAAGTTTGAGAGGGGGGTGCAAATTGAAAATTTGCTCCTGAGGGGGCGCCAAATTGAAAGTTTGTCCCCGGGCGCCGGGAAGTGTCGTTACGCCTCTGCCTTTATTTATGTCTAGTATTGCTATGTTTGCCACATCACCTGCCACAATAAACATTTCACGTATTTATGTATCACAAGAAATGTCTGTATAACCGTCCAGTTCTTACTGAAATGGGCTACAGGGCATTACCCGCCCCCCCCCCCGAAATTATCCCCCGGACATCCCCACGTATTTACCCCCCCCCCCCCCCGGAGCAATTACCCCCCTCTCTGTTAATTACCCCCCTGTCAATTATCCCCGGGGAATTACCCCCACCCCCTCCCACCTCTCAAATTAGAATCCTAACTCTAATTAGATTAGAATTCTATACCTATATATTACTTTAATCCTAACCTTAAGAACAAGACCAAAACCTAAGCATCCACCCTAACCCTAACCCTAACCCTAACCCTAACCCTAACCCTAACCCTAACCCTAACCCTAACCCTAACCCTAACCATTATTGGCCTATGATTTATCTCACAAACTCTATCGAAGTTGGCCAGCAAAAAAGTGTCTAAAAAAACTACAAACTTTGTCAGAATTTAGGAATTCTGCTACGTTCTTCCCTAACCCTAACCCTAACCCTAACCCTAACCCTAACCCTAACCCTAACCCTAACCCTAACCCTAACCCTAACCCTAACCCTAACCCTAGCCCTAACCCTAACCCTAACCCTAACCCTAACCCTAACCCTAGCCCTAACCCTAACCCTAGCCCTAACCCTAACCCTAACCCTAACTCTAACCCTGTCGGGGTGGGGGGTAATGTCCTACTGGGCGGGGGTAATTGACGGGGGGGGGGGGTAATTGACACGGGGTGATAATTACTCCGGGGTTAATGTCGGGGGGGGGGGAAATGTCCGAGGGGTTATTGACGGGGGGGGAGGGATTGCCCTGTTCCCACTGAAATGGTATGAGAATAGTCAGTTGTTGTTTAAAATAGATCAGAGGTCAGTAAACGTCTTCCTGTGTCAGAGGTCAACCTGCCTACAATCGAAGTGTTCTGAGCTAGACTAAGAGTGTAGGGTTATGCTTCACTTTTTTTTTTGAAAAATTGACATTTAAAACATTTAAATGTCATTTCACACCTTCCTGGTTTAAAGCTGCCTATCCCGGTTAAAGGGATTAGCGATCTGAAGGAGTTACTCTAAAAATGAACGAATCCTTGCACAAAGCTTTTTTTTAGTGCACAAAAAGTACAAACCTGAAAATGTCCAAAGGCGTAGTGACCCATTCCGGCGCCCAAGGCGAACTATTAATTTCGGCCCTCCTCCCATTTATATTATATTTATTCAGGTTGCTGAAAAGGCGCCCACCCAACCCCCCCCCTCTACCACACACACCATCTAGTTGAAATGGTCACTAGTTTGTTTTTATTTCCTTTGGTGCCACACTTCAACAGTGTAAAATTCAATACTTCAGCTTAAAAGACATTTAAAATTTGTTCTACCCCTTTTTTTCGCCTCATCCTCAAACTACGCCACTGTCCACTAGGTAATGGAACAGGTTACAACGTACTAACAACATTCACCCCTTTGATTCCCTTTACTCATACACTACATTCTTCAAACGATGCTGGTACGAAACGACCTCTTGCAAGCCTACAGCATTTTACATCTCGTAGGTGTTTCCGTTTTATCGGAACTATTTTTAATGATGACAGTTCATATAGATCTAGATCTATATTGCAAAATATATCAACAGTTTAAACTGAAACTTACCATGTTCTAATAAAAAACACAAGACTTTGAAAGTTGAGCCGTAAAATGTAAAAAAAATATTATAAAAAGCATAATAAAATGCCATAAAAATTTTAAAAACAAAATATTTGATTTTACTCCTAGCCACACTGGTGCAATCAAATGAAAGCACCAAAATATTTGTTAAAAGCAAAATTTGGGTGTGCAAAAATGATATTATTTGTAACTCTAATATTTATTTTAATAACACTTGAGTGAGCTCCCTTAAATTTTTCTTATTTACCAATGTAGGCGACTGAGTTGACAAGAAGCCTACCATCATGTTGTTGATATGGATTAAAAACGTGCTTTTTTAGATTTTACAATCAAAGCGACTGTAAAGAATTATCAAAAAATAAAAGTTAAGCCTAAAAATAAATCAGAAATTTAATATGTTTAGAATTAATGTTATAGAACCAAATCCAGAGAACTTGAAAATAATTTTTGAGTTTGAGGCTACATTTCTATTTATTTTCATCAAGCCTACGCTATAACCAGTTGTTTTACTTTCGTAAGACAAACATTGATTTGCTGTACAGGAACAGATTTGATAGATTTCTGACAGCCCCACATCATAGTTTTTTACTTTCTCGTATATAAGAAGTATAGAGAAAGTCTTGTAATAGTGCAAAAAAAATCGAGATTTTTGCAAATCTCAACGTTTTGCACCTCACTGATACGGAAAAAACATATTTTTTTCAATCTTGTCCGTATGTCTGTGTGTCTGTATGTGTGTGTGTCTGTGTGTGTGTAAACACGATAACGTGAGTACCGTTACAGCTAGGTTGATGAAATTGCATATATAAGTCTAATTTATCAAAATCGTAGATCTCTATCAACTTTTGAGTGATTTCCGATAACCGTAAGTGGTACTTTTTCTACTTTGAATATTTCAGATACATAAATGAAAATTCACATGTAAGTAAAAAAATATAATTCTCCACCTTCTCTCAAATTTTGAGTAATTTCCGTTGACCGGAAGTACTAATTTACGCTATTTCAGATATCTCAAAAAAAACGCATGTAAATTTATAAAGTACTTATAATATTGCGCACTATTATGCACATTTCATTTGGTGTGCAATTCTTTTTTCTACGAGATTTTATTCTATTTTAAAAACTTAAAGTTTTTAAAATGGAGTTCCCATCCCCTGTCGTTTTATATAAGAATATTCGAAAAAGTTTAGGGGAGATCACTCCCGTTTTATTTGTTTACAAAACTTTGCAGACATAGTTTTTAAATAACAATGCAAATTTACACCAAATGACATAGTTCTGCCATTTTCTTTCTTTACAATTAATTTGTACAATTAAATTTATACTAGCCGATCAAATAGCAGGATGCCATTGTTTATGTCACCATTACATGCCAAAACTAAATTGTTTTGCGGGGTTTTTTTTATTATTTTTATTTAGTTACCGAAAATTTTTAAAACAAATGCATCAATTTTTCGTAAAGTCCGAAAAAAAAACTGGATTTTATAACTATATAAATTTTTAACTACGCCGCGCAAGATTTTTAAAATATTTAATGTGTCTCTCGAACACCTTTAAGACTTTTCTCGCCCGGGTCAATTTGATTAGTAAGGGTTAGCGTGATACTTCTAGTGTAATCCGCTAAACACAAAAAACGGGCTATACACAAAAAGGTGTGTTTGTGGCCAAAATAAAAAGTTAAAAAAAAAAACACAATTGGGTGAAAATTCTTAGAGTATGCTTAGTGAGAATATGATATAAAATGTTTAAATTCTTGAGATTTTTGGAAAATTCAAAAATAAATCACCTTTAAGCTAACGGAAATCACATTTAACATTTGATATAAGGGGTCGGCGTGGTCGAGTCGGTAAAGCTCAAGGTTGCTAAACCGAAAAGTCTCGAGTTCGAACCCTCGGGCAGATGAGGCTCGTTAGCTGGGGAAAGCCACTCTTCTAGGGGGATCCCTTCCAACACTAAAATTAAGAACGAAAAAGAAGAAGAATTTGATATAAACTAATGCTTATGCTTTATATAATATTTCCTCCACCTAATTGAACGGTGCTAATGCTCAGACGGCAGGAGGTTAAAATGCCGATAAACATTTGATAGGATTTCGCTAATATGATCTAATACTATTTTATAATATTTCTAATATGTAAATAGTCGGTACATACGTTTTAAAAAAATATCGATAAACATTTAAAAATTAAAAGAAACTTGTTGTAATATCCTAAACCTATCATAATATTCAAACGTAGAGTAAAGTACTACTTCCGCTTACCGGAAATCGCTCAATAATAGAACACAATTTGTATGCAATTCAATACTTAGTAGTGATATTTTGTCCGGCAGGCTAAAACGGTACTGGACTGAAAGAATTCTTTTTTTTTTTGTGAGAAACCTAAAAAAAAGGTTTAGGAACCACATTCGGTTAATGTAAACCTACGAAAAGTCTCTGATATTTATGATACATGAACGTTACTGAAACGGTACTCAAGTTATTATTTCTACTGACCGGCAGACAAGATTGCAAACCTAAGATTTTTTCGGCTTAGAAATGTACAACACCGAGTCTTGCCGAAATCCCGATTACGAATTTTCACAAGATTTTCAATTATTTTAATTTTCTAAGAGTACGCTAGAAAATACTCTTCTAACTTTTAAAAACCTTTATGAGGAATTAAAATTAAATATAAAGTCATTTAGTCCAGCGTAAAATAAGTTCAGTCTATATTTCATTTTTAATGAAGAAAATACTATTTCTGGCAAAAAAAAATATAATTTTTTATTAAGATTCCAAGATGCCAAAACATAGAGCATGCTATTAAAACTTGAATTGTAAACGCAGAAACCGTAGCCACTTTAAAACAATGTTCATGTAAATGATTGACAACCTCCATAATTCTAGTCACGATTATCGAGTCAGTTATTTCAGGGCATATATTACAATTAGCGTTAACTTCTCTTTGTTTGTAAATAGAAGAGTAATGTGTCAAAAAAGTAATCAATAAATAAAATTAAACTATTAATCACTCTAAAATATTTTAAAAATTACTAAATTAAAAATAAAATTAAAATACAACATATTTAAAATTACTGCCAAAAATTATTTTTTTTTGCCATTTATGCTTCTTTTTTTATATATATGAAACCTAACGTCACTGATTTAGTGATTGTGGTTTTTGTAAATACTTACTAAAGAATAATGAAATTGTTAATGTGTAGCGTAACCTTTAAGCATGCAGTGGAACATCTAGAGCTAAATATGTATATTTTCTTAATGTAATGGAAACGAAAAACACTACACAGAGCGACATAAATCATTTTATCGTCCTGAAGCTATGTGAAAGAACTTACACAAACACTATTTTATTTCGGTAGATTTTATTACCAAATTAAGGTAGATAAAACGTAGAAATTTTAGATTAAATCAAAGTGTTTAAATTGTGCAAAAGTACAATTAGATTTATGAAACTTTCTGTAAATATTGTAAAATAGGCTAAAAAATGTAATGTTCAATAAATTAATTCAATTAATTAATATTTTTAATATAAATATTAACAATTAATTAATATTAATATATTAATATTATTAAACATGGGCTATTTTATAATAGCACTGTGTCCTACCCTAGTATAATATTTAAAACAGCAGGTAAAAAATAAATTAGAATACTTTCCAGCTAATACTAATCACGGGTTTACACATAGAGAATGTTGCTGTAAAAATATCACGACAGCAAACATGACATTTTTAACTCCTTGAGTATTTTAAATCAGCATGCCAGTGAAGTTTATAAATTAAATACTTTCATGAAACTTTCGTTAAAAAATACATTAGATGTAAGGGTAAACAAAACAAGACTCCGATTAGAAACAAACATAACGAAATATAAACAAGTATTGATGATTACTTATAACTAGTCTGTAAATTGTTCTCTAAATTAAAAAATAAATTATTAATTATTTTCCAGAAAAACAAAATATAATTTAAACTTGGCCAATCTAACACCATTGTACTGTGTTTTCATAATAGCTTTCTGCATGCAAAAAAACTTAGTGAATTATAAGAATACATTTTTAATATTGTTAGTTTAATAAAATGATTACAGTTGTATATTTTGGTACGTTCAGACGTGTTTATGTATTTAACGAAATGTAAACAGATTAATAGTTAATTTATCCTAAATGATTTAATATCAAAATACATTATCTCCATTCCAGAACTGTTGCACCCGTCCTTATTTCTAAACACAATTCCAGAACTGGTACCGTGACTTCAACACACTGACCCATTTAAACACGAGTGAGTTATAACATAGACTCTACAATTTCAGACAAACTGGCTGTTTATTTTGTTGGTACTGGTATCAATATATTTTTAGGTAGAAGAACTGGGGTGAAATTTGAGCGTGGTAAATTAAGATGGTTCCAGACTTCAATGTTGGCAAAATACATCATTAACAGAGGTGTTAATTTTTTTTTTAATGAATTTATAAGTGGAACAAGAAGTTCGTCGTCGTACGTTAATTTATCCTGCACATCTTTTAATGTGCACCACCTACACAGGTGATGGAATGTAACTTTCCCGTCTTTAAAATCAATTGTCCATATATCTCCATTTTTCTGTGAAACATAGGTACTCTTATCATCACTTAACGTGACTAGATTTTTAGCTGGGCCGTCCAGTTGTTGTAGTGTTGTGAACGTCTTTGTTAGAATGTCTAGTTGATGAACTGCTGTTTTCTCCTCACCACTGACGGTCACAGAACTGAAGATGAGAATCCCTCTCTGATAACTTACAGCATGGCGAACTTTCATTGCCTCTGGTATTTTTGTAAATACTTCAACTCTCGCATTCCCACATTTAGGAAATATTTGATATATTTCTTGATTGGTCTTGCTTAGAATAAAAATGCACTCATCATATGATACAAGAACTAACTTACGTCCTGGAATTTCAGCAATTTTTTTCCAAAAATTTCCGCTAAAAACACACAGGCTGCTGTATTCTTGAGCTTCATCATCAACACCGGCAGCGTATAAATAAGAGTCGAAAACAACTAAAGTCACTTCCAGACGACATTCGCTACAATTTTCAAAGGTGAAAAACCTGTGACCAAAAGCAGTTAAAACAATGAAAGCCAAGTCAGTTACGTGCACAACACTGCAATGCTCCCATTCACTAGAGGTTCTATGTGTGGCATTTGCTGGCAGTTGTCCGTGGTTATAATGTGTTGTCTTATACAATACAGCATCGATTAAAATATCTCTGGCTTCAGTGTTGTTGATAATCAATTGATGTTTTAGCAGATATTTCAACATCGGTGCACTTACAAAACACGTTCTAACAGATTTTAACAATGACGCAAGTCTCCGAAGTCTTTTACCTTGAATTGTATATAGTTGATCTTTCATTTCTGTTATTAAACTTGTGCCTGATTCATTATTGGAACTTGTTTCTCTTACAGTTACCTGTTGTGTGTCGGTGTATTTCTCATCTTCGTCTTCACTGCTATTTTTTTCTGGCACATACTCAACCCACTTTAGCACTAGCTTTGTGAGCAAGTCTTCATTCCTTACGTTGAGATGATGAGATCTAATAAAGAAATCGAAATCACGGAAGTCCATTTCCATTATAGGCCTATGATTTATCTCACAAACGCTATCGAAGTTGGCCAGCAAAAAAGTGTCTAAAAAACTACAAACTTTGTCAGAATTTAGAAATTCTGCTACGTTCTTCATGCTCTCGAAGTTCTCAACAGAAGTGACTTTAGTAGCGAAATCCTCACAGTGTCGAACAACAAAATCTATCTGTAGTTGGTCTGCTGCCCGCCATATGTCGATAAAATTGTCTAACGTTAGAGTAATCTTTCCCGTGTACATTGACTTAAAAATTGGTCGAAACGTTTCTAATGATATCCCACTTATAGTCACACAACCCTCTTTAGCCTCCTTCATGTCTGTCATTAAAAGTGCTCTGAAGAAATGTGACGACGCTGCCAGAATAACACGGTGACATGGCAACTCCACGTCCTCAACTCGGACAGTAAAATCAAACAAACTTTTTTCTTGTAGAAGTTTTTCTGTGTTTTTTGCGACGGAATGTCCACAGCCAATTTGTTCAGCCATTGCTCAATTTACCTGAAATTATTGTTGAAAAGCTCTGTTTAATAACTTCCAGATAATGATATGCATAGATTGTGTTGCCTAAATAATATGTTATTATTTAACCTTATCTAAATCTAGTCACTATATTGTAACAACAATAATTCTTGTTTTGATAAATAGCTAAACAACATTTTTTGTAAAGCAGAATCCTTAACCACTCTACTTGAAGTGTTAAACAAAAATTATTAATAAAATGTATTGAGAATTCATTTTTGAGATCAAATTAAAATTAGACTACTTCGGCATTAAATATCTTCGATGGTAAAGAGAAAAGAGGGTGCTAGGGAAAATCCTGATCTCTTCATCTAAATAACTGACACACCCTAAGGATTCCACTTATCTAGGCGTATCCGGTAGTAAAATCCACGTATAACTTAGCTTTTAAACAAAACTAGACTACCCGTCATCCGTTGAATAACTGTGGGTTTCGGGGATCATCCATAAAAAAACAATACGTCTGTTATTTATCGTCACAAAAAACCAGACCCCATATTCAAAAAGATGTTTTTTATCTTTTAAAAACACCGAAAACACCGATTTCGGACTATCCCTTCATATTCTGACGTCACCGGTGACCTACTCAACTCTACTTCACCTGCCCAGTGTCCCGCCAAGTCTCAGACAACATGTTTTTATCGTTTAAAAAAAAACGATTCCAGCCTATTCTATCCCTTCATATGCTTAGGGCAAAGAAACAGATTAACTCTACTTCACCTGACCTGTACCCCATCAAGTTCAGATAGGCAATTTTATCATTCACATCTAAAAAATAAAAATAAAATGAAAAAAAAAATTAACATTGACGTATTGGTCTAGAACCCGTGGCACCCGCGTGCAAGCCGTTTACAATAACAACTTAGCTATTTAACTCGTGACGTAACAGATGTTGTTTTTATACTATAGTTTATTACTTTGAGTCTCCTTATGCAACTTGATTTACGCGCATAGGTCTAGATCTAAGTCTAGTTGTAGTAACTTTCAAATTAAATTTTATCTTAAATTAGCCAAACAAAGATTTATATAAATTATTGAAGGTTTGAAATTATCCAGATCTAGATAGAATTATCTAGATTAGATTCTACGACTCATTTAGCATGTTTATATAACGTGAAAACCCGCCATTTTGCTCGTGGTAAACATAGCCTAAAAATAGTCGGAAATCATGCGTCCGGTCCGGACGCCATTGTTGTTAGCAACCGACCACGCCTCCAATAAAGCGAGAAATCCTACTATATCTAGCTCTTGAACCTAGATAGATAAATCCTATGTATTCTGAAATTAGATGTTCATTAAAGCTAAACAAAAATGTATATAAAATAAGGCCTGAAATAGATTCTAGATGTAGAATTTGCATTAAGTCTAGATCTAGAATTTACGTAAAGTCTAGTGACCTAGATCTTGATCTAAAATCTAGATTTCATAACATGTTCTTCCTTCGACAGCTGATCTGTAGATCTAGAGAAATTTATCGTAAAACTAAATGAAAAAGACAGTTGAAAATTGATTTTAAGTGTTGGAACGTAATAAATACAGCAAACGGACGTATTGTTAAAATTATAGCCGACAGAAAATTAGCTTTAGAACGCGTTAAACTTTGGAATGGGAACACTATCTTCTTCTTTAGACGCCGCCATTTTATTGTACTAAAAAGTAAACAAAAAAATGTGACGTCACTGTTTCGTCGAGTCTAGTGGTTGTTATAATCTTTTAAAATAAATGTGGTTAATCTACCTATGAATAAATCAATAAATTAATTAACGTCTTCAATAAATGTGTGATTAACAGTCTGTCTGCAATCAAAAATTATTCTCTACCTACATACTATTTTACAGCCCCTCATATAGAGCAGTTTCCTTACAGTACGAAATCGGACAAACAAAAAAAAATATTCAAACATGTAAACAAACTTGAGTTTTAGTAGTATACTAGACTACCCGTCATCCGTTGGATAACTGTGGGTTTCGGGGGTCATCCATCAAAAAACATCACGTCTGTCACTCAGAGGCATAGCGACCCTTCCCGGCGCTCGGGGACAAACTTTTCAATTTGAACCCCCCCACCCGCAAGATTTCGATTTGCAACCCCCCCTCCCCCTCAAACTTTTGATGTGCACCCCCCCCCCCCCCCCACACTCAAACTTTCGATTTGCACCCCCCTCAACCTTTCAATTTATGTTTCCAACCCATTTTGGCGCCCCCCCCCCCCCCCCTCCTTGCTACGCTACTGCAGTGTCGCTTATCGTCACAAAAAACAGACCCCACATTCAAAAATATGTTTTTTTATCTTTTAAAAACACCGAAAACACCAATTTCGGACTATCCCTTCATATACTGACGTCACAGGTGACCTACTCAACTCTACTTCACCTGCCCAGTGTCCCGCCAAGTCTCAGACAACATGTTTTTATCGTTTAAAAAACGATTCCAGCCGAGCATGTCTCTGACCACACTATCCCTTCATATTCTTAGGACAAAGAAACAGATGAACCCTACTTCACCTACCCTGTGCCCCGCGAGGTCCTGATAGTCAACCTTATCATTCACATATAGGGTTTAAGAAAAAATAATTGAAAACGTAAAAAAAAAAAGTTCTATTAATTTTTATGACACTGACTTTAAAATTTAGCTTTCATTCTCCAAAGCAAATTTTAAAATGCTTTTCTGGCATATCTAGCCCTGGCCACCTATACCATGTTTAAATAATGTGAACACCCGCCATTTTGCTCGTGGTAAACATGGTCTAAAAATGGTCGGAAGTCATGCGTCCGGTCCGGACGCCATATTGTTGTAAGCAGCCGACCACGCCTCCAAGTTAGTGAGTAATCCTACTACATCTAGATATAGAACCTAGATAAAAATAAATCCCATGTATTTTCGAATTAGATGATCATTGAAGCTAAACAAAGATTTATATAAAATAATTAAGGCCTGAAATAGATTCTAGATGTAGAATTTACATTAAGTCTAGATCTAGAATTTACATTGAGTCTAGTGACCTAGATCTAGGCTAGATCTAGATCTAGAATCTAGGCTAGATTCATAACTTTCCTTCGACAGCTGATCTTTAGATCTAGAGAAATTTATTGTAAAACTAAATGAAAAAAGACAGTTGAAAATTGATATAAGTGTTGGAACGTAATAAATACAGCAAACGGACGTATTGTTAAAGTTATGACCGACAGAAAATTAGATTTAGAACGCGTTAAACTTTTGAATGGGAACACAATTTTCTTCGATAGATGCCGCCATTTTATTGTACTAAAGAGTAAACAAAAAACTGTGACGTCACAGTCCCGCCGAGTGTAGTGGTCGTTCTAAACTTTTAAAAAAAATAGGGTTATTCTTCGTATGAATAAATCAATAAATTAATTAACGTCTTTAAATAAATGTGTGATTAACAGTCTGTCTTAAAACAAAAAAAATTTCTCTACCTACATACTATTTTACAGCTCTCCACGATGAGTGCAACCAAGCGCAATAGTCAATCAGCCAAACAAACAAACAAACAAATAAACAAATAAATATTCAAACATGTAAACAAACTTGACTTTTAGTAGTATTAGATATAGATATAGATAGATGAGTCGTGCATCATCACCATGGTATCAAAGACAAAAGGCATTCAAAGATGATTTTCAAACAAAAACAAAACATAAAAATGAATATTTACTGTAAATCTGTATGAATTCTGCTGTTGCCTTTTAGACTAGTTAAGAAAAAAAAAAGAGACATTCTGTTTGTTTTTTTTTTGCTCCTTCATGCAGGAAATCGAGCTAGGGATCAATAATGACTATACATAGACGATACAATAAATCAACAATTTAAAATAGAACTGAAACTTACCATCATTGAACAGTTACCACAAAACAGTCCATGATTTTTATAGACGATCTAGATATATAATACGTTTAATGTAGAAGGTAAACTGAAACGTGTAAATAGTTTGTATAAAAACGTCAATAAAATGCTATTCCATGGCGTAAAAATAAAATAAAAACATTTATTAAATCTTACTCCAAGTCGCACTGGTGCAATCAAATAATGGCGCCAAAATATTTGATAAATGCATTGAAAGGTGTGCAAAATATTATGTTATATAAGACGCGAATGCATGTTTTAACTATAAGAAAGAAAGAAATTGCATGAAACGATTCAGACCTAAAAATATTTTTATGGTGCAAAATCGAAATCAAGAATTTAATAAATCGCAACGTGTTACCCCTTCCTGCAATCTTGTGTGCATCGGTCTCTCAAAAATACGTAACAAGGGAAGGAACTTTCAAATATTAGTGTTATATACGCAAGTCCCTATCAAGTTTTAATTTCTGGTAATAATATTTTATATAACCAAAATTGCAGATCTGATTCTTTTCCTGCCGTTCCGATGAACTTATTTAGAACAATTGAATTATTACATAATAACTATATAGTATCATTTAGTGAAGTTTTCGTGTAGTAAACTTTTTAACTTTAGCTTATAGGAGCGAAATTCGAGAATTAATGCTAATCTTCGTTGAATGTTACCACTGAGAGGATGCTTTACGTTTTGTTCAGACGGTTTATGCCATAAGAGACACGAACTTCACATTATCTGCCGCTCGTGTCCAAGACACACCGGGAAAATATTTTAGAGTTCATATATTTTGGAGGGATAGTGTGTGGTCAGCCGCTTTTACTTTCCTAGGTAAAGTTTCCCATTCAAACGTGACGGTCTATGGTAGAGTTCACTTGTTTCTGTGACCTCGGCATATGAAGAGATAGTGTGGTACCCCTCAGAGTTGGGACTCAAGGACGGTTTACTGACTTGAATCCGGATTCGAACTCGAGTATTACGGGTTAGCAGTCCAGCTCTCTACCGCTAGACCACTCCGTCCCATATTCGCTGGGTAGACACTACGTTATTGAACCCGGATTCGATCTCGAGACGTTCGGGTTTGTAGTCTTGTTCTCTACCGCTAGGCCATCCCATATTTATTTTATTTAAAGTCATATAATTAATTGTGTTTAAATACTTACATTTGTCAATGAAATATAAATTGAACATATAATATGAACACTATAACAGCCAAACACAGATAAAAATACCTTTTAGTTACTTGTTTGTTTTATTCGCCGATATAATGAAATGTAAAATGTATCAAAAGTTATGCTATAAAGTTTTAAATAATTGATCATAAAATGTGTTTGTTTCATACACGTTATGTTTTTGTAAATAAAAAAATGTAATAAGACAACACAGTGATGTGAAAAACGACACTTGATGTTGAAACGTTTTAGACCATTAAGACAGGTACATTTGTTTTATCCTCTTTTAGTCACCATATCTGCACTTTTGAAATTGACAGCAATTTATAAAAACTACATCAGTACATGTCTCTTCTGTTTCAGTAAAAAATTAAATTAATTTTCCTCCAAGTCTATCAGTTTGATAATTGTCCGTATGTTTTACAAAAGAATTGGTCTTCTGGCCAATAATATGTATATGATCACAACCGAAGCTATCCGATAAATAAATTGCCATCTTGTTCTATAAGTGGCTTTAAAATATTTTTAGGTAGAACAACGGGAATACAATTAGAACATGGGATATCATTCAAACTCCAAAGTGAAAGGTCCTTAAAATAACCCTTTAACTGCGGCGAAAACTCCATTTCATGGTCTAGTCGTCTATTTTTTAATCGCGGATACGCAATATGCAGATGGTTCTTGGTTGTATATGCCCCGTGTAGTATGAACATTGTGTTCCATAATCTGCACAAAAATTTGAATGTAACTTTACCAGCATTGCATTTGACAGTCCATAAATGTCCAGTTTTTTGTAAAAAATAGATATTGTTATCATCATTAAAATTTGTCAGATGATCAGCTGGTCCATTCAATTGTTCTAATTCTGTTAATTTCTTTGTTAGAATGTCTAGTTGATGAACTGCTGTTTTTTCTTTGCCATTGACGGTAACAGCACTGAAGATCAGAATCATCGTCTGGTAACTTACAGCCAATTGTACTTTCATTGTATCTGGTAGCTTTGTAAATTCTTTAACATTTGGGTTCCCGCATTTAGGAAATACCTGATAGATTTCTGGTTTAGCTCGGCTTAAAATAAAAATGTACTCATCATATGGTACTAAGATTAATTGACGAGCTGGGATTTCAGTTATTTTTTTCCAAGAGTTGCCACTTAAAACACACAAACTGCTTGTTTCCTCAGCTACATCTTTCACTCCAGCCGTGAATAGATATGAGTCAAAAACAACCAAAGTTACGTCGAGAAGACATTCACTACAATTCACACAGGTGTAATTCTTTTTATCAAATACACTTAATAGAACAAACCCAACCCCCATAACATACAGAATCCCGCAGTGTTCCCATTCACTGGAGGCTCGATGTATGGCACTTGTTCGCCATTGTCCGTGGTTATAATGTGTTGTCTTATACAATACAGCATCAATCAAAACATCTCTAGCTTCAATGTTGTTGATTATTAATCGATGTTTTAGCAGATCTTTTAGAAGTGGTGTACTTACAAGACACGTCCGCACAGATCTTAATAATCGCGCAAGCCTTCGGATTCTTTTACTTAGAATATTGTTTCTGTTATCTACATTAACATCTGAACTACTTCCCTGTGTAACATCCTCTTCTAAGTCGGCACATTCATCGTCGTCATCGTCACTGTCGTCTCCCACTGGTGTATATTCAACCCACTTTAGCACTAGTCTGATAACCCAGTCTTCATTTCTTACATTGAGTTGACGAGATTCAATCAATTTATTGAAATCGTCAAACCCAAGCTCCATTATAGGTTTAGCATTTACCTCACTAATGTTATCAAAGTTTAGTAATAAAAAGCTTTCTAAAAAACTTAAAATGTTTTCAGAATTTAAGATGTTTGCTATGTACTGCATTATTCCATAAATCTCAACACAAGTTAAAGTTTTAGCAAACTCTTCACAATGTCCAACAACAAAGTCTATCTGTAGTTGATCAGCTGCCTGCCAAATGTCGACAAAATTCTCCAACGTTAACCTTATCTTTCCCGTGTACAGCGACTTTAAAATAAGCTTGAATATATTCAATGAAACCTCATGCAAAGTCACATGACCTTCCTGAGCCTCCTTCATGTTAGAAGTTAAAAGAGCCCTGAAGAAATGTGACGACGCTGCCAGAATAACACGGTGACATGGCAACTCAACGTCCTCAACTATGACGATGAAATCTAACAAACTTTTTTCTTCTCGAAGTTTCTCTGTGTTTTTTACAATAGTGTGCACTGTGTCGTTTTCCTCGCCCATCGTCACAGTAAAGAAATAGGAACCTAAAAGAACCTGAAATAATCACGTGAAATCCAATGTGAAATTTAGTTTAAATGTGTATGTTTTTACTCTATACTCTCGTTCTTCCACCTTTTGTTAGGTATTTTATTTTTCCCAGCCCTATATACTTTATACACTTGCCTGTAAGACAGAATAATATGTCGATACTTTTAAAATAATTTAAGTACTGTCACTTTAACATGCTGTAACATTTACAAATAATAAACAATGTGAGCCCAATTTCTGGTTTCAGCAACACAAGATTGCATATCGTCCCTCTAACATAAATTGTGTATTTGTAAACTATAAAAATAACAGAAAACTCTTCAAACTGAGAACTCTAGAACTAGCATTGTATTTTAGTCCGCTTATATATCATAGCACAGTTTAAAATAATAAAACCAATGAAAAGAAAATGCTGTTATAAATTAACCAGCATTTAGCTACTGGTATGAACGCCGGTATAGTTATCTTTGGATTTAGATTAACACCCTCAAATAAATTTGTAAATTACTTTTAGAAATTATTCAAAATATCGAACACAGTTAGTTGAGAAATAGTGTAATGGTTACAGTTATGGTCAGGGAGATTGTATAGTCATAGTTAGAATTATGAGCAGTTTAAAAGTTAGAGCGGAAGTGAGGGGGTAGTGAATATATTAGATAACACTTGAAGCAGTTTTTATTTTATTATTCTGCTGTGTAAGGGCTAATGGTGTAGTATAGAACTATGTCATGTGACGCAAACTTTTTGAGGTTACATGTGAATTCTTTTTCCAAATTTTTAATAAACACGATCTTGGATAAAATATGGAAAAAACTTGATTACACTGTTTTTTTTTTCTCAAAAATTAATAGTGTTGTACTTTTTTCTATTTAATACAAATTTAATTAGAATAAAAGCTAGAATGTGCGTTTGTTACATTTAAAAACCTAACGTGTGAGCGTGAATCTAGTTCCTGGAAATGTACATAATGAAATGGGATGGTGGTGATGTTGTGGTAATGATGTTGTGGTGATGATGGTATCGTGATGATGTTGTGGTGATGATGTTGTGGTGATTGTTTTGCGGTAATGATGTTGTGGTGATGATGTTGTGGTGATGATGTTGTGGCGGTTATGTTGCGGTAATGATGTTGTAGTGATGATGTTGTCTTAATGAGGTTGTGTTAATGATGTTGTGGTGGTGATGTTGTCGTGATGACGGGTGGTTGATCTAGATGTGTTTAACGTTGGGATGGTTTTTCTTTAAATGGAATGTTTAATAAAAATACATAAAATATAAAAGTAAATATTCCTCTTTAGACCTAGAGATCCATTGGGTAGATGAAGTAGAGTTCAAAACCACTGGTTACTATATTATTGTAAATTAAAAATTAAGTTCCCCTTCCAAACCTGATGGTTTAAGGGGCAACTGAAATAGAATGTTTCTGTTTCTGTGACCTCGGCATATGAAGGGATGTTGGGGTCAGCACAATGCCATCCGCCTTTGCTTTCCCTAACGTGACTTAGGTATACATTAGAACTGGGTGGGCTCAAAGACTCTCTACTAACATAAAACCGGGTTTCATACTCGAGAGTTTTGGATTAGCAGTCTAGCGCTCTACCGCAAGGCCACTCCGAATACAAATAAGTATATTGTGTTTAATTGTGTCTGTGAGATGATGGTTTGACTGCCACACTTTTTATATTTATCCAGAATCAATTCCTTTGACTACAGTGCTAGCATCTTTGCTACGATGAAAGCTCATGATTTATGATAATGCTAGAATCCTTCTATATCTAGTATAGCCATAAGTTGTTAAACTATAGTGAGACACAAATTAAATCTTCAACGAACGTCCACCAAATTACCTACCTATACTCTGGTCATGAGAACTTTATATGAACGTACCAATAAAAATTTTAATCTATAGAAAAACTATAAATCTAAATATTAAAGGTCTTACCAGTTAGTTGTATATGATATTAACTGCTAATATAAAATGTCTAGAATAATATACATCGTTTGTAAGAATGCTACTAAAGTTGTAAATTACCGTATCAAAATATAAACTTTACTCCACGCCATAATGGTGCAGTCAAATCTAATCATCAAAACATTTTTTTAAGTTTACTTATGGTGTGCAATGTAGGCTGAGGTAAAGAAGCGAATAAACAATTGTTGTTTTTAAACAATTAGTCTTGCTATTCAGTTGTTTTTAAATTAGAATTTATTTGAATTATAACTTGTATGTGGAAACCAAACCCACTAAACAGAGACGATGTATTAAGAAATGAAAAAGCTAATAAATTCTTTAAAAATACATCAATAATGAAAATCTGATTTCGCTTAACTTTAAAGATGGCGCTATGTATTTTATTTACTGGAAATTTTCATAATTATGGTAATTGTTTCGATGCTACGCAATTTTAATTATTTTCTCGTATTAGGAGTAATAGTAAAAAAAAAGTTGAACTCGTGATTTATTGAAAATTCGAAGTTTTACATTTTTCGGAAAACACAGTTTTGTTCTCTACCCTTTATGTGTGATTGTCATTACCATATTATTAGTTAGGTGAAAGCAATTAATAAGTATTGAATTGTTTTTGTAAGTTTCTTTTTATTCTTTAGTTATATCCGTTTACCGGAAACGGTACAAAATCCATTTTTCCGATAACTTGAGTGACATACAGTCACCTGCCGGTGCCAGGTCATTTAGCGCCCTAGGCAAAACTTTCTTCAACGCCCCCCCCCCCATCAAATAATCATCTGAATCATCATGTTCTAAATTAAAATAATTACATTAATAAATACAATAATTATCTTATTATATTAACAGAGGCGTGGCTAGAGGAGGGCAGATGAAGCGGCTGCCACAGGCGCCGACACAAAGGGCGCTAATAATACATAGATAGATAATAATATAAAACGCTAATTACTGAATTATATACAGTTGAAATTAAGAATGTTGACTGCTACCTGGCATTACGGTCTTAATTGTTTTCTACATCAATAACGTGACAAAATAAAAAGACAAAGTGACTGGTAAAAACCGCCGCGGCCTTTCCAAATTAGGGGGGGGGGGCGTATTTTCAATAACGAGAATAACTATATATAGACCTAATTTAAAGATGGGGCGCAAAATTGATAGCTTGTCCTGGGCACCGAAATAGATTGCTACGCCTTTTTATATTTACCCTGTCTATAGTTTATATAATATAAAGTTAAACATTATTACTTTTTAATAATGGCGATTACACAGTTTTACGCCTCTCAATGGATAGCGCACTAGGCGACCGCCTAGTTCGCCTTATAGGTAGCGCCGGTCCTGGTGACATATTTGTTAGCTAGGCGAAATTTCACTTATAAGTAAAAGTTCGTATATGAAGGTTCGTGTCAACATATGAACGATTTCCGGCAACAGGACACGATACTTTAATATATTTCCATTTAAAACGATAACTACATTAAAGTTTTTAGTTAAGTAGACGAAATTTTTAAAATACATTTTAGATCCTATAATAAGGGTAATTTTTTAATGACTCCCAATATTTGCAAGTGTTAATTAACTTTATAACCGGTATCTAAAATACCGATAACTTGATTGCCGTTTTGATTAGAAAGACGAAATTCTATATATAAAATTGTGTATACGTATGCATCTATCAAAATTTTGGTGATTTCCGGTAATCGAATTGGACTGTTTACTCAATGTACAGGAAAACATGATAAGTATGTTTAAGACATTTAATAAATTTTAAGAATTTTATAAATTAAAATGCAAAGTATATTAAAATAGTTTAGATTAAAGTCTTTTTTTCCCTAATATTTAAATAAATCAACTAATAACCAAAGTATATCCTGAATATGAGTATAATATACTATTAATATAAATTATACTGTACTTTATGGTGCTACTTTAGCGGTTTTTTAATTTTACACTTTTAAAGTTAGAATCGCACAAAAGATTTGCGCACCAGATGAACGCAACGAACTGTGTATAATAGCGCGATATAATTAGTACTAAATTAAGTAATGTTCAATTTTTAAGAACTACTTCCGCTTTGGTTGAACGTGCGAAGGTATTATTGTTGTCGTAGAGTAAATTTGAATTTGAATATGTAGATCAAGCTATCTGAAGACTTTTAATACGTTTTTTGACTTCTCTATACTAACTTGTAGGCCTACTTACTTTCATTATTTTTATGACTCAGTTAATGTTTGCATTTGATAGATGTAAAGATTTAAACTTTGCTTATCTGGTCAGTAAAGGTAATAAACTGTTGGTTATTCGTTAAACATTTTCTAATAAAATAGAAAATTTTAATTTTAACATAATTACTTTATCTAAAATGTGTTTGACTTGGTCTGTTAACCATCTGAATTTAGACTTTACTTTATAAAGTCTGACTTGCATTGAATAACACCCAATAGGATTACTCTGAAAAGTCTTTTTAAAGGCGTTGTCTATGTTATTATAGCATATGTAGTTATAAAAATTGATTGTCTGGTTTGTGCATGTCTTTATTATAAACAAGCTTAGCCGTCCCCGCGCGTTGTCGCGGGAATAGAAGAAAGTCCGACGAAATATATAAGAAGGGTTTCATCCATGCGTTACCAATCCTATATTCTTAGACTAGTGACCTTGTTTTCTATAAGTGAGTTATTTAAATGTAAACAATGCCTGCGCTTGGTTCATAAGTATCGGGACATGGGTTTACCTACACTACAGCTTGAAAACCTTGAGTGTACATTAATCACTCACCGAAATAATAAGGTAGAACACACTTCGGTGACCGCCCATTTGTCAGGGACGTAGAGGGTCGCTCTCAGGAGCCGCCCCCCCACCGATTACACTACATCATAGGCGCAGCGTACGGCCCCTGGCTCCTTAAAACTAACAGGCGCCATCGTGCCAAATGATGCAGATTGCGTGATGCGCTAAAGTGACAAACATTAACATTATTTTTTCTTTAACACGTAAAAAAATATTTAATTTGAAGTATTTTAAACATCACTGTGACTGATGCAATATGTTAGCGTTACTAATGGTCTATTATTAGATGTTCGATCTCAATTCCTGATTGGATTGTCTAAACATAGATGCTAATTGCATCATTTGCAAAGTGACGAAACTGTTTGGATTTATTTACGAACAAAAAGAAACACCCCAGTTCATAATTTAACCTTGGTAAAATTTTCTTATTATTAAAATAAAACGTATTACATGGCCCTCGGCGGTTCATGTGAGCTTTTGGGGGCCGAAACTGAAATTTTTGTTTGCAGCGAAATCGCACGCCTGATTCAATTTAGTGAGCGTTTGTAACGCCCCATCCTATCAATTGTCTATCACACTGTTTAGACCGAACGTAGTCGCCATAGCGCTAACTGAAAAGACCAGGGCGCTAAATCGCATCTCGCCGGGGGGAGGGGGGCATTCAAAATTAAATCCCCCCTCCTACCACCCCCCCCCCCCACTCTAGAAACCTTCTGGAGTATTCATCAACTCCCTATGTTTTATGGCACTCGGATAAACTGTGTCGAACCGCAATCGTCTTTTATATTATATACCGTATATATAGAAAAAACGCACCATACCGTGCCGCCGCCCTTGCGAAATTAAAAATGTTTTTTTTTACAGAACCCTTCCAGGTAGTATTCTAATCAACTCCCGTAAGTCTCATGCCTATTGGATGAACGGTGTCAAACCAAAATCGACTTTTATTTTTATGTATCGTACATAGAGAAAAATTGCGCCCTTCCGTGTCGCCGCCCTTGCGAAATTAAAGATGATTTTTTTTTTACAAGACCCTTCCCTAGAGTGTTCTAATTAATTCACAAAAGTTTGATGGCGATCGGGTGAATGGTGTCAAACCAAAATCGACTTGTATTTTTATATACTGTATTTAGAGAAAAATCGCACCCTCCAATGGCGCCGCCCTTGCGAAATTAAAAAAAAAATTTTTTGCAGAACCTTTACAAGTAGTGTTCTAATCAACTCCTCAAAGTCTCATGCCTATCGGATGAACGGTGTGAAACCAAAATCGACTTTTATTTTTATATACTGCATATATTAAAAAATCGCACCATCCTGTGTTGCCACCCTTGCGAAATTAAAAATGACTTTTTTTTTTACAGAACCCTTCCCTAGAGTGCATAAAAGACACACACACACACACACACACACACACACACACACACACAGAGAGACATACATTGCTTTTTACATATATAGATAGATTGCATGGTTTTGTTTCTTTAACTTTTCAAATTTTAAAATTTGTACTTCAAATAAGTAAGTTTTAAAATCAAAAAGGCTGAAACATTTTAGGATTTTTTTTCATTACAAAATGTAAACAATCGTATCATAATGACGGCAGGTGGTCTTGAAAAGCGAAACTTAATTTTAAATACGTAATAGTGAAGTTCAGCATGAAAGGCTGGGTTTTCATAAATGCGATCAGGGTGTGTTTTTTTTCAATGCTAATCATTATTGTTTTGAATTAGCAACAAATCATACAATTTTAGGGGTCGGCGTGGTCGAGTCGGTAAAGCTCATGGTTGCTAAACCGAAAGGTCTCGAGTTCGAACCCCCGGGCAGATGAGGCTCGTTAGCTGGGGACAGCCACTCTTCTAGGAGAGACAACTCCAAAATTAAAACAACTGCTGCCTTGTAGATTGTTCTTGGTTGGACAAAGGCTATGGAAGCAAATCCAAAAAGAAAAGCAGGCTGAAATCGGAGTCAATGGCCTCAATGGCGCATAACCAGTTGACACGTAATGCTTAATTGTGTTGGAGGCGTGGTCGAGTCGGCAAAAAGCTCATGGTTGATAAATTCAAACAAAGTCTCGAGTTCAAACGCGCTGGCAGATAAATCTCGATCACCTTCAACACTAATAATTAAGAACGAAGAAGAAGAAGAAGATACAATTGTACAAGTGTATTAATGCACCTATTTTTTAATTATATCTAAGCTTAATGTATTACATTTTGTCTTAAAATAGAGTAGATAGGAGCGTAGGCTTGAAGATATTTTCCTATCATCGCTACTTTGATATTATGATTA